GTTTCAATGTAAATCATCCTACATAATTACATGAAGGAAAAAAATGGACACTTTAAAAAAACTAAAACAACTTGGTAGAAGTATTTATGAAAAGATCTGTTTTCACTAAAACTACCTTATGCCTGCTAGAAAGAAAGCGGTCCTATAATTACTATATCGAGGCAACTTATTTATCCAGGCAAAGTATAAAACACTTTATTTTGCAGGGTTGCTTTAAGGACAAATGATAAAAATGTATAGCTTCCTCAAAAAGTATGATGGTTCTAAGAACACTTAGATCTTACTGTTGTTTGAGGGTTCCGAATTAGACATGTTCACACAACAAGCTGCCACTTCTATAGCTCTGGAATTTCCATACACATGTTGGCATACACTCTGATTATTGCCCAACCCTCTTCAAGGAGTTAGTGAAGGATAAGCTCAGTCATGGTACAGTAGAAACAGCAACAAGTTTAATGTATAATTAAACTTCTCCTTGTGACATGTGTCAAAGAGCTTTAAATATTTTAAAGAATGCTACATAAATCACAGACATATTTGTTTATAAAGCAAGACTGGGATTTAGGTTTTAGGAAAAAGATTTCTTCTTTGATTGTATTGGTCGAAAATTGAATTTTCTATTTATGAGGATGTGGCCACAGAGCCCCAATCAGAATCCTCAGTCTCTAGATATAAGTACTGAGGTCATAATTTAGCATAAAATGAGCTGAGAAAACAATGAAGATGAGATTAAAGAACAATCATGTTGATGATAAAAGATTTTCTGGGAGTGAGGCAACAACAAAAGCTTTTTTATATTTAAATTCATCCATTCATTCAACCAATACTGAGATTGCACACTTGTGATTCTAAGCGCTAGCAGGAGGGCAATAAGACACTTCCTCTGCCTTCCAGGAACTTCCAGGCTGCTTCAGGACAGTGACTTTCCAGGCCCTGAAGAAATCCAAGCACAGCTAGTAGGCGTGTAGTGACAAGGGCTCCAGCATTAGCTGGGGGATCGGAGTAGGTTTTCAAACTATGCTCCAGACCAAGGGGTTTCCTCAGAGTCCACTGTCAGAGCAGGTCGGGTGGTGGGTGGCTGGGCGTCTAGGATCATTCCCTACTTCATTCAGAATAGTTGTTCTTTTAAATCTCTGAAAACAATGCTTGCACCAAGACAGAAAGCTTTTAAACTTTCTCAAGTTTTAAATCAGGTTGGGGCATATTTGGAATGTATGCTAATGTCTACCTGGAAATCCGAGAGCCACAGAGTGGCAGCTTGTTGTGTGAACATGTCTAATTCGGTGCCCTCAAACGACCATCACACATTTTGAGAAAGCTGTATATTTTTATCATTCGTCTTTTAAAACAAGCCTATACCTCCTTTAAGGTCCCTTCCAACCTTGAATTTATGATACAGTATTTATATAAATGAGTGCTTTAAAGTCCTTAGAATTGAGTCAAACATTTATTATTACTGTACTTTATATTTCTTTAAATATATTTACACTTATATAATGCTCCTGTTCATCATCTCCATCATCCTTGTCCATGAGAATTTTCTGAAGTGGTGTTTTTAATGGCTTTGGTGATAATATAGCTGAATCAATATTTTCCATCCGTTCTTTTTCAGTGGTCACTTTTACTTTGAAGGTGTGAAAAGGTGTTGGGACTTCTCCCACATTTAAGTACATAGGCTCCCCTTCAAATATCACTCCTTCACAATCACCATCCTTAAAACCAGGAGGCTGGTAATCTGGGGGTGTAACTGCGAAAAAGTAAGTATAAAATTGTGCTGTTCATGAAATTAAAGAAAATATTATTATTACAAAAATATATGCAGATTAAAGAAATTTCAAATAGTACTTCTAGAAGAGCATACAATAAAAAATATTTTTATTGTGCTATCTCCTACCATCTCCAAGTTCTTACTTTATTCCCTAAGGGTAACCTTTTTTTTCCTTCACTTGACTGACTGTGTGACCTCAAGGACATTATTTGTCATCCTTAATTCAGTTTCCTCATCTGTCAAATGGGGAAAATAATAGTACCTCCCTCATAGGAATTAAACCGTGCCAAGTGCTCAGAACACAACTGGCATATAGTAAGTGTTCAATAAATGTTAGTTGTCACATTGTTGCTTTATGTTCTTTTAGAAAATACTGCACATGTAAAACATGTAATTTTCATATATATAATATATACATATCCTTAAAAAACACAAATTAGATCATGCTGTTCTGTACCTAGCTGTTTTTAACATCTTTTTAACCTGTTTTAATATTTTTTTTGATAACTTATCCACATGTTCTTTTTAGTAGCTTGCACAGTATTCTGTTACATAGATGCACCATAATTTATTTACTCACTCTTCTAATAAGGACACTCAATGTTGTTTCCAGTTTGTTCCCATTTTAACCAGTGCTACAATGAAATCCTTATATACATATAACCTTGCATATTTGTGTAAGTACAGTCCCAAGATATTTTTATAGCTATAGAATTTTTGGATTAAAGAGAATGTGAATTTAACATTTTGATACTGCCAAATTGTCCTGTAAAAATATTGTACCTATAAACATTCTCTCTAGAGTGTACAAAAGTGCCTGCTTCCCCTGACCCCCTTGCCAATAATGAGTTTACAAGTTTTACTGATCTGATTAGTGAAAAATGGTATCTCACTGTTTCATTTCTTTAATTATGAGTGAGACTGTACCTCTCATGGATATATTCACATCACTGCAGAAGTTTGTATGTATTTTAAAGCCTATTTTTTCAAATCTTTCTTTTTCAAATACTGATATTCTATGTAAATTTTATAATTTCAAAAAATATATAACAATTTATTTAGTTCCTTAAAAATATTTGGGATGGAAACCCACTGTTTCAACAATAATAAAACATACAGGCACCAACTGAAACAGGATGTATTGCAAATAGTACCTTCATCATAGTAAAAAAGTTTCATGGTCAAACAAACATCATTAGGTAAAGGTCCCAGATTCTGCATTAGAACATAAATCTTGCGAATGAGGAGAATACTGGCTTTCTTGGTGTCAGCAGATGACATACTAGATTCACTGCTTTGGTTTTTACTAGAAGAGAATCATACATTAATTTCTTTTATGACACCTATAGCTTCGAAGAACATAACTTCGTATTTTACTATTTGAGATTCTTATTTTGATTATAACATTAAGTTGAAAGTTACCATGTATTTTAATGTCACTGTTACTAAAAATTTAATATCACTAATATCACGGTTAATATCATTATTATAAACAAATAACAATTTTACATAAGTGAATATGCATTTTATATAAGATGTTTAAAGGAAACAAATGATGCATTTTAATTATATTTACGTAATTAAATATAATTATATACGTTTATAATCACTGAAGCATACAATAGCTTTCCTACTCTTTGGCCATGTTTCACAATTAAAATAACATATAATTAGCCACAGAATTCTAGCTTGCAGCTACTCCAAGGATATTTAATACAGCCACACCTTGATGATTAATTGGGGATGTCCGAGAAGTTTCAGAAGTAATCCTGAAGTCCAGCTATATAGTATTAATATGAATAAATGGTAATATATTAAAAAAAAAACCTATAGAACAATACCTTATGAAGTCCATGATTGGTCCATTACTGGTGTACTTGAATTTAAATTGGTAACATTCTGAAATTGTCTTAAATAGAAAACATTGCAGTTATGTATCTGATATACTACTTTTGTATGACTCTTAACATTTACTTAACATTTTTTTTCTGCTATGTTAATCCCTACTGGTCCACAGAAACTTTTACGTCCTAAGTCAACTCCCATGGTTTGGGATTTGGGGCTTCGCTCTTGGAGATTTATTCTCCCGCTCATTGCAATGTATGTTACATACACCAGAGAGAAGGAGCTCCTCAGCAGGCAGGTAAGGGAGGCAGCAAACCTCTTTTAGTAGAACGACTAAGCAAAGGGCTTAAATCCTTGCTATACAGTAAACACAAGCAAGTCATTTAAGCTTTCTGTCTCAGTTTCCCTAGCTAATAAAAGAGGTTGAAAATAGTACCTATCTTATTAGTGGTTGTGAATATTTATCAAATAGGATAATTTATACAGAGCCCTTAATAAAGTTCCTGGTATACCAAGCATTCAATAAAGGGTTCTCTTGTACAAAAAGAAAAAATGTGCAACTATGAAAGAAATGAACATTTCCCTAACAATCGTTTTCTGAACAATCAACTAATTCATAGTTTTTGCTAATGTGATTTTCTTTGTCACCATGAACATATATTGAGCATTAATTTCAGGCATGAGTATCAACAAGACACATTCCCAGATCTCTTGAGGCTCTAATACTTTTACTGCTTTCTTTACATTTCAATGCTCACATAGGAATGGAGATCAGCTCTTTCTTTCTTAAAAATCTGCTTCTCCCTGACAGAATGAAACACTGTATTATAACAGCTATACTGTAATGATTAAGCAACCAGATCACAAACTGGCCTTCTTAGGTCTAAATTCTGGTTCTGCCACACAGGCAAGAAAATTTGTATCTAGGTTTCCTTACCTATAAAGTAGGCATGATAATGATAGTTACCTCATGAAGGCTGTGATGAATCATTGAGGTAATGCATAGAAAGCCCCAAAGAACAAAGCCTAACAACAGTAAGTGCTTAACAGATTTTCCCCTTTGTTTCTTCTGGTTTTTCCTTTTATTTCTTGTCATCCTTACTTTAGTTGTCAGATGAACAGGTAAATGTGACTGGACTGGGATGAACAATCAAAGCTTAAGGATGAGTTTCTAATTTTTCTCAAACTCAACCCCTTTCATAATTCTATAAAAAGAATATTGTAAAGAACCAGAAATCAGGAGAGTTAGGTTATTTCTAATGGTCTGTGGCTTTGTGGCCTAGGATCAGTCACATAATCTCTTTTATAGGAAGTGTACTAATCTGTTTAAAGATAATAAGACAAGCTCTGTCTTACCTCAAAAAAGTCTTTATGAGGTTCGAATGTGAAAATATATTATGAGAAAGTACATTAAAGCTCAATTAAAAGCATAAGATGTTATAATTTAAGTTATTTTTAGATATTAGAGGCTTATGTTTCTTTACTAACTTAAGCACACTTACCTGAGGGTCTTCTGGGTTGGTGTATACCTATTTAAAAATAATTTACAACTGAGTTATACAAGGCTAAATATTCAAGAAGAACTAAATTAGATGTTTAGACTCAACTATTAAATGAACTCAGCAAAATAAAATACAAAATGACCCCCAAACTACTAATCTGTTACTTTTTTCCATTCAATAGATCAGTTGTTTGAATAAAGCAACATAATTAATTCATGGTTTTAGCATATTTAATTAAACAAGGCAGAATTTGACAGTCTTTAAAAAAAGAACATACAATTTAAAAATACTTACAGCTAGAACAACCATCCTTAGCTGAAATACAACAAAGAACAAAAATCTTACTTTTATTGTATAAAATATTTTTTCATGATGGATCATAAATATTCTTTGTCCTATTTCAACATTTATTCCTAATAAGAAATAATCTTACTTCATATGATGCATATAAAGCAACATATACCTCATGTATCCTTCTCTATTCTCCAAAGCATGTATTTCTAGTTGACTTACTAAAGGTTGAAATTCACGTCATTTACTTAAGCAAACAGGGAAATTACTGCCAGTTACAAAGAAAATATATATATTGTGAAAGAACACATTAAACCTTATAAATATGAGAATAAATTTTGAAAGGAGAAAAAGTAGAGTTCAGGGCCTGGCTCATATAGTAAAGGGAAGAGGCTTTGGAGCCCACAGGAACAGAGAATCACAGGAATTCACTCAAGTAACGTGCCAAAATCTAAGTCATCCTTGATTTGGATCTTTTGCTTATACTCCACGACTGATCCATTGACAAGTCCAATCAGACCTACTGCCAAATATAGCCTAAATCTTTTCTCTTTTCTCCTCCTCTGCCATCCTGATCTAAGCCACTCCCAGACCCCCTTTTTCTGACCGGTACTGCAGTAATAGGTTAAGTGTTATTCTCCTTAATTCCCATTTTGTTCTTCCACAGTATATTCTCTAAATAGCAGCCAGAGTGATTTTTCTTTTAATTTAACATGTAAATCAAATGATGTTATATTTTCACTCAAAACCTTCAAATGACTTTTATTTGCACCTAAAATAAAATCCAATCTCCTTACCTCCACAACCCCGGATGCTCTGGCCCTGCCTATCTCCCCAGGCTGCTCTCACACCGCTCTCCCTCACTGCTCATTGCACTCCAGTCGTACTGGCTTTCTTTCTGGTCCCTGAACTCTCCAAACTTCCCTCCAGCTCTATGCATTTGCTGCTCCCCTCAGAATACTCTCTCCCCAAAATTAATGCCAGGGTGGTTTCTTCTCATTCAAGTCTCAGCTTAAATGTCACCTCTTCACAGTTGGTCCTCTGACCACCCTACCGAAAGATACCCCACCTTTCCCTTTGCCACACACTTTTTCTAAAAATTTTAATGGCATTTTAACACTATTGGAAATTATGACTTCCTTGTTGTATTGACTCTCTTTCCCCTATAGAAGGGACCCTCTTTGTCTTGTTCACTACTATTAAGCTTACTCAGCTCTTACCTAGAATACATACCTAGCACATAATAGGCACTCGATATTTAATAAATATTAAATGTTTAATGCCTTAATGAGGGAGGTTACTGACCATAGATAAAATCCTATCTTTTTCACAAATTTGTTTAACTTCTTTATATATGTTGACATAAACATATAATAAGTATACAAAAACTTACGATCTATAGTAAAACCTTATTAATTGAAATTTCACTAATTCAGAATTTGTGACAGTTTAACCGAGACTACATGGAAATTTATTTTTGAATGCTCAAGAAAAAATAATCTATTAAATAATTAATATAAATAAGTTTACAGAGGCATGTAAAACTAATGACTAAAGTGTTTTAAGACTTTTTAATTCATTAAGTTTTTGTAAGTTAATATGTGTTATTAATAAAGATAAATTAAAAATTAACCAAAACTATCTTGGCAAAATTCATTAAGTATTAATTCTATTAGCTTTAAATGAGTTGAATATTAGTCTTTAAAATACTCAAATATCCAGACTTTCAGAAACTTGGATTGACCTATGCCCAAGTTAGTTTAAATTAATGTTTTACTACATGGTAAGTGATGTTACATTTGTGGAATATAAACTGGAAAAAAAAGATGAAGAGATACTGACTTACATATTTTTTCTGTAAAGCATCATAGCATCCTAGCATCCTAAAAAGTAATCCAGGATTCATTTTTAGATTGAATGTATTTCATTTCCAGAAAATAGTTCTTTTAATAAGTCTCATATTATTTCATTACTAAATAATATAAAATTTTCTTATTAAAGTTCTCTTGTTATTAACTAGATTAAAATAATAAAACAAACAATGAGGCAGAAATATAAAATGTTGATAGTGATGGAAGGGGGGATAGAAAATATCTGACAGCTAGTAATAATGGGGGACAATAACAGGAAAAGAAAACCTGCTCACATGGAGCATAAAAGGAAATTTTAATGCAAAAATCCAGAGACCTGCAAAAAATGGTATCCAGTGTTAAAGGGGGAATCATTAAAACTGTGTTAAACACTGAAATATATACAATGAACAAAAAAATGTGCCTTAAGAAAAAAATAATATTATATTGTTATGTATTCTTTTACTTACCACTTCACTAATTGTGTAGATCCTGGACAATTTTTATCTTCTCTCAGAATCTTGACACAAAGATCTAAACACAAAAATGGTGATATAAATATAGAGCTACTTAAGATTAGTAAACAACTAGAAATTTAAAGTGAAGATTACTTTCTTTAGCTGTGTATTATTGATATATTATTAATGGCAATGAATTTCCAGATGATTAGGATTAATATAATTAAAAGAAGAAAGGTTTTATGGAAGCAACTAACCTTTTTATCCTTATTATAAAATGACATCATAATGAATAGGATGCATGTTGATGGATAGAAAATTTTTAGTTTTAAAAGCTACAGAATACTTAAAGTTAGATGTAATGTTTTTATGCCATTATTGTCCAAGAGTCTCAGAATATTTGCTATGCACCAGTAAAATACTTGTAAAAAGCCAAGTTAACTGGATAGAGCCCTGCAGAGAAGGAACATGTAATATAGGAGAAAGGACTGAGATCTCTCAGTCTCAGGTCCCTTATCTGAAAAACAGGGATACTATCTAACTCACAGGCCTGTAATGTGAATTAGAAGATATCATACACAATATAGCACTTTACATATAACCCAGCACATAGTTGGCATACAATATTATGCATGATATTATGTCCATTAATATGTACTGGGCAACAAATTACTGTAGTATAAACTATTTTTACATAAGAATATATAATACCACTGTAAAAAGCTATAAATAATATTTTTATCTATTTACTTCATCATTGTAAGAGTAACGTCAGATGAAATTATGCTTGAGAAAATGAGGAAAAATTTTATGATTAAGTGCTTCCAAATGTATTGAATATACTTTTTAAAAACCACTTAGATGTCCACGCAAAAACCTGTACACGAATATGGCATTATTTACAACAGCCAAAAAGTAGAAACAACCCAAATGTTCATCAACTGATGAATGGATAAACTGTGGTATATCCATGTGGAATATTATTCATTAATAAAAAAGGATAAAATACTAATCCATGCTACAATACTGTTGAACCTTAAAAACATTATGCTAAGTGAAAGAAGCCAGTCACAAAGGGCCAAATATTGTATGATTCCATTCATATGAAATGTCCAAAATAGAAAAATCCATCGAAACAGAAAGCAGATTGGTGGTTGCTTAGGACTGGGGAGGTTAAGGGAAGTCAGAGTGACTTAATGGGTATGGAGTTTCCTTTTGGAGTGATGAAAATGTTCTAAAATCGACAGCAGTGATGTTTGCACACCTCTCTGAATATACTAAAAATCACTGTATTGTGCACTTTAAATGACTGAATTGTTGGGTGTGTGAATTATATCACAATAAAGCTGTTACTAATAAAAAAATCTCTAAGTCAAAAATTATAGTTTTAGAGCAAGCCAAAGTAAAGGTAACTGTTTAAAGAAAGTTTAAAAATAAACATTATATTACCATCTAGATATCTTGTTCCATAAGCACATTCTGGAAATATTCCTCTCAAATACGTGATGCAGGATACTGAAACTGCTAGGAGCCTCTTCACTAATACCAAAGATTGCTGCTCAGTTGATATCTTATTGGGGAACACCAATGCACTCTAAATTCAAGGGAAATTAAAATATTTTACTTAGATTTATTAAAAATTAAGTATTCCTGAACTTCCTGATCTAATTTTGTAAAAGCATGGTACTCTCCCCCCAAAATTCATAACCATAGTGGTTAGTAATTCCCAGAAGGTCAGTGTGGCTTCTAAGAGGTTAATATTTTATTCCAAATGTGTTTCCAGGGTAGCAGCCTAAAGATAACATGCAAAGAGTGCTTAAGAATCCTTTTTAAAATCCTCTCGCAGGTTAATTGTCTGTAAATGCATAATACATGGATAGGTAACACTTTGTAATGCAAGATCTATGCAAAAATGACAATTTTATCTGTCTGAGGGACACAGACATTCATTTTCTAGGAATGGACTGCTATGAATAATAATTTCATCAAAGCAACAGAACAACATTCATTGACATCTAACGTAAACTGAACCCGAACCAGCAATTTAATGCAACGCATCAAACATCCAATAGACTTCTCCATTCATTCAAAATCGTTTAGCAGAAAGCGTCATTTCTTAAAACAGAGTTTCCTGATGTCATTAAACCCTCCAACAGTTGACTCTAACTCGCAGATATAAAAACAGTTGAGAATTCATAAACCAATACAATTAGTTAAATTAAAATGCACTCGAACACAAGAAATCCTACCATGGAAGTTCTCTGCAATTGTGCAGTGGCCATCTTCGGGTAAAGTATTTTCTGTAATTCCACCTTGACACAAACACAAGCGTTAACTTCAGATGTTATTTTTATCCATAATATTCTATTTTACAACGTGTAGAGTCAAAAGGAACTTTGTGACCGAATGAGAGGACTCCTGCACTTAAAACGGAATCTTCAAAAACATACTCATTTTGCTGTATGACTCCTTTGAGTAAGGTCCTAATTTGAAGCCATTTGACTGGCAAGCTTCACATAAGTAGGTTATTAAGAAAGCTCTTAGAAAAAAAAAGCTCTTTAAAAGATATTTTTTAAAAAAGTATAATCTCCTATTTTCCTTCATGGTATTCAATCATTAACAACATTGCACATTTAAGTATTAAGTAATGAAAACCTGCCCCTGCCAAGCCCTTTAAAATAATCTTTTAATTGTTTTAAAGCTGTAGTTTCAAAACAACCGAATCGGATCACTTTTCTTCACTGAACTTGAGCGTGACTCTGGGTATATCATATTGTCCAACTCCGAAAAACAACCATAAAAGGACTACAGAAAATATTCATTTTTTTCTTTTTTTTTTGGACTGATTCTGATGTCTCAATTATAGCGTTGATATTTTGATAGGTTTCCACATTTTTGGGTCCCAATTTCAATTTTCTCCATCAGACACTTCAGCTAGAAGAGTTCACGGAAGAGTCTAATTTACTCGTAAACGTTTAAATTTATCCTGACGCAGCCCGGACTAGACGCCAGAGTTAACCTACTCTCAAGAACCTGTTCTGAAAAAATAACTCGGTTCACACTCCCCACCCCACTCCCAATGTTTCGCCATTAAGTCTTTTAAAAAACTTAAAAGTAGCAGGTGACAGAAAAAGAGATTTAAAAGCAAAAAAATAATAATAACAATAAAGTTAAGAAAGGAAAAAGAAGGAAACACATATATTACGTAACGTCTGAGGGACGGGCGCCGGCGACGAGGAGAGCAGCACGACGCAGCACGCGCTCTGCCCGATGCGCATGCGCCTTCCGTCAACGGTTGCCCGGGGAGGCGCGACAGGAGCCTTTTGACCCCGGTCGAGGTCACCTTTCCCGCCAAGAGCAGCGCAAGGCACGCCGGGAACCCCAAGAGCCTGGCCGCCATGTCTCACCTGGAAAAGCCCGATGCCTACGAGGAAAAGGTAAGTAATTACAGGCGCAAAGCCTTCCCTATATACATGGATTTCCTACATGACCAAAGTATCCTCAATCGCCAAATAATTAATCGCATTAATTTGTGATCGTTTTTAACTTTAATTTTGTTTTTGGATCTATCATAGAAGGCATTCCCTCCCGACAGTCTCATGTCTTCAGAAACGAGTTGCTCTGGCAGCATCCAACTTAGGTACTTCTACTGGGCTATATCTGCAGGGTCGGCGGACAGCTTTCAATTAATTAATGTCTCGTTTAGAAACAAAATAAATGAATCATAGCTAGTAGGTAGTTGGAGACTCTAACAATCATAGTTTACAGATTGTTACATATTCAAATGAACATCATCATTATTCATAAACATTGATACTGTCTGCATTACCAGTTAGAAAACAGCCACTCAGATATGAAAAGATTTGCCCAGAGTCGATTAGAAGAGGAGAGAAGACGAGAACCCCGTATTCAGGGTCAAAAATAGTGAAAATCCCCTGGTCTAATAATTATTTTGCTTTATATTTCTCTTATACTTAGAGTTTACAAAGAGGTTTCACATTCACTATCTTATTTTTTTAAAGAGGATAGTTTATTGATTACACATGATAACGGATGATATACAAACTTCATTCCCATCTATGATTTTATCTGGTGCCATAATTCAATTTAGATATATTGCATAGGATGTGCCAACAATCATTAATTACCAAATAAACTCCATGACTCTGCTTGGGTGACTATTTTAATGGTGAACTCCAGATCACAACACAGTAACTGTCAATTCAACTACACCAAGGTTTCTGAAGACAATGGCTTCTGTGCCCAAGCAGGTTGTAAATAAATTTCAAATGGAACTTGGCAACACCCTGAGGGAAATCTAACTTCACACTGTTGGAGTGATAAACCAAGATAGCTTCAGAGTAGACTAACTTTAAATGGCACATTTTTAAAAAGACACATTTATTCAGCATCACAATCAGATATTATATTTAGCAATCAACGGCAGGGGTGCAAAAAAAATCAACATTAAAACCCTTTGTCGAAATGCTTTGCACTTTGCACAGAATGGAAACTAAAATAACCTGTTATACAATTAGTCATAAGTACAGTCCTCGAGTCCTTTGCCCATGTACACACGAGTATTGTTTAAAACATGTCTTCTTTGTAGCAGCCAGGCCCTGCCACCACTGTGCTTGGCTGAGTTCACGAATCTTTTGTAAACTGTAGCTTCCCTGTCACTTCTCTGGCTCTCCTCTCCTGCTAAGCTTTGTTTCCTGCCCTAGCTACTGCTGCCACCACAGCCACCTTGGTTCCGAGGTTTGGCAAAGCACTGGCCTCCACCACCATAGGAGCCAGAGCTTCTGCCTCCAAGGTTTCCTCCTTTCATGGGTCTAAAATTTGAAGATTGGTTGTAATCACCAAAATCACTGTAGCTTCTGCCACCTCCAAAATTACCTCCATCATTACTAACTCTATTATAGCCACCCCCGCTGCCACCATGTCCTCCACCACCATGGCTGCCACCAAAGCCACCTCGACCACTGAAGTTTCCTCCACAACCAAAGCTGTCACTCCCACCAAAACCACCTCCACGACCACCACCGAAGTTTCCAGAACCACTTGGACCACTGGCTGGGTGAAGCACTGACCATCTCTCACTCAGGGCTTTCCTTCTTTCACAGTCGTGGCCGTTCATGGGGTGCTGTTTCTGAAGGACAGACTTGTCTAGAGTCATGGTCATCAGAGGTTACAAAAGCAAAGCCTCTCTTCTCGCCGTTGCCTTGCTCGGTCCTGATTTCAGTCATTTCAATTTCCCCATACTGTTCAAAATACTCTCCTGGGTGATATTCCTCCATGTCATCTTCTTCTTTCTTAGAGCAACTCAGCAAAATACAATGAAAATACGGAACACTTCATGAATTTGCATGTCATCCTTGTGCAGGGGCCGTGGGAGTCTTCTCTGTCGTTCCAATTTTAGCGTGTGCTGCCGACACGAGCACTCGCACGTCCTCGTTAACACCGCCAACAAAGCTCTTCTCACAGACAAGAGAGCACCAGGTCTTTGAGAGCCTTCTCTGGAGACAGTCCGCTTTGGCTCCACGGCCCTCCCATCTACCTTATGTGGCCTTGTATTCATGGCTGTGTCCACCTCCTCCACGGTGGCATAAGTGAAAGACCCAAAGCCTCTGGAGCCCTGGTGTTTAGATCTCTCTCATCACCACACAGCCTGTGAGTGCTCCCCGTTGCTCAGAACAGCCCCTCAGACTCTCATCGGTTGTTTCAAAGCTCAGACCCTCCAGGAAGAGCTTCGGGGGCTTTCGGGCTCCTTGAGAGGATCTGAGTTAGATGTGACGACTGCTGGAGTGGCGACTAACCATGCTTACTCTGCGGCATCCACCGACAGAAAGGAGTGATCTAACGAATGTATCTGCCCTCACTGTCTTACTTTTCTATCTTACTCTTACTTCTTCCAAGAACCTTGTGAGGAAGACACAAATATTACCTATGTTTTAGAAATGAGAAAATCAATTCTGGTAAAGTTGGTTGCCCCAATTCACAACTAATTTCAGTGTTGACAGAGGGAGAGTCATGACACCACCTAATGATGACATATTAAGTTTATGACATGGTGCTTCATATTAAATTTATTTTGAGTCATTAACAACTATAGAAAAAAACAGTAAAGAGAAAGTAAATACCCATCTGTGAATCATAGAATAATGCCGTAGAGGAGGAATAATTTCTCTGCTTTCTTTGGGTCTCTGGCTAAAATTAAGCTGATGGAAGACACTGGAGAAAAGCATACAAATTTTAATTGCATGTATTTTTACGTGGAAGTCTTCACAAGAAAAATGAAGATCCAAAGAGGTAGAATCGAATGCTTATATACTGAATTGGATAAAGCGTAGTAAACTGTGAAAATGTGACTAGGCAGAAGGGTTTGGGCTGGGGAAGTTAAAGGAATGGAGAAGTGACTGGGAAGATAAGGCTTAGTTAACGTTTGTACAGATTTATCTTGGCCTGGACTTCATGTCCTTGGTGATAAGACTGTCCCTTTCCTTCTGGTATAGGCAGGACCTCTTCACATGGGAGTTTCATCTCCTTTTCAGAAAAAGAAAGAAGATCAGAATGTCCTTCAATGTTTTTCAAGTGCCTTAACTCAAAATAGGCAATATGCCAGAGCAGCATATTTTAGGTGGTGTGTTCAGAGCTCCTTCGATGCAAATTACCAAATTAAGCAACTATATCACTGACTATAATTTGAAGATGAGAGTGGAGAAATGGGTGGTGTTGGTGCAAGTGATCTTAAACATCAACCACTATAATAGTATTTAGAGACCATTTAAAATTGATAAGTCAAAAAATAGCAATACAAACATATTAGAAACTTGAAGGTAAATACATACTAGAAGAAACAGCTGGAAGAATTATCACTGATTTAAAAATATTACTGATCTTTAACACAATTCGTTAAGAGAGCGGGACATAAGGCTTTTGCAGAGGAAACAGAACAACCTTCAGTTATGCCTGGTGTTAATGATAGTACCATTTGGAGGGTGCCTCTTAATTGTTTAACAACAGCTACTAGATATGTTAGAGAACATAACATTTTTGCTGTCTAAACACTGGTAAATTCTTGGTTATATTACACAAGCACTGCCAAGACGCACATATCTATATACTATGGATAAATTTTTAAGCAATTTATCATTTGCTGTTTGAAATTGTTGGAGAGGAAAAACTTTACTTTTTTAGGTTTAGTACTTGGAGGCCTGCAAATTAAACTGACAACAGACAGATTAGCAAGAGAGGAAAAAAAATAATTATGTACACATGCATAGGAATTCACAAAGAAATGGGACTCAAAGATGTGGTTAGAATTCAAAGTTTATATGCCATCTTAACTGGACTTGGGGAGAAGCAGAGGGACACTTATGGGAGAACAAATGATTTTTAGGAAAAATGAGATAGATGATAGTTTTATGACAGTATCTGCTTAGGTATGTTCTTATCCAGGTGTTGATGTATGCTAACTTCTCATGTTTAGTGATAAAAGTCTCCCCTTGTGAAATTCCTCAGTGGGCGATTCATAACAGTTGAATTCTTTTTGGAGGCTTTGCTTTTAGGAAATAAGAGGAGCTGAGAAAAAGCCTCTTCCTGTAGCCATTGATTTTCAGATATCTTCAACTCAAAGTAATCCTTATGCCACTGTGGCATATTCTGGACCCCTTCAAAATTAATGTTAAAAAAATAACGTATGTTTAAGTTCCCTGTATATGCATAATAAATTCTAGGAAGATATACAAGAAACTAATAATAGTGGTTACTTCTAAAGAGGAGGGATCTGAGCCTATAGGGAAAGGGAGTGGGATGGAGATTTTTCATTCTTTAAACACATACACACACACACACAGATATATACACACATATATTCACACATATATACACACATATGTAAAACCTCCTTTATTCACAGACTTCATTTTGTGAATTCGCCTAGTTACTAAAATTTATTTGTAATCCCCAAATCAATAATCAAGTCAGTACAGCCCTTTTGCAGTCATTTGCAGACATGTGTGGAGTGGCAAAAAGTTTGAGTCTTCCTACACATGCGTTCCTAGCAGAGGCTGACCAAGATGATGCTCTGCCTTCTTGTTTCAGCTCTCATATTGTAAACCGCAGGAGCTGATTAGCTACCTGAATGTTATAAAATTTTAACTTCTTGTTTTATTAAAGCAATCTCACTAAATCTTTCTCTTAGTGAAGCAAAAAGGAGAAAGAAACAAGATCATTTCAAAGTATGGGCCTGGGAAGGGTAGGAAAGAGGCAGGAGAGGAGAGAAAGTTTTGAATAATGGCTTCTGTTAGATTTTAACAGTTTTAAAACAGCTCCTAAAAAATATTAGATGTCCATTACTGTGAACAAACTATTAGGACATATTTTTACTTCTAAAACTTATAATGTGTTGGTCATTCATCTGTATTCATTCTTCCCTCATTCATTCTTTCAACAATAGCGACTACTTTGAGGCAAGCACTGTGCTATGTTCTAGGTACGATGTGGTAAACAAGAGTCATGATTTCTGCCCTCACTGAGCTTCCAATCTAATGAAGGCAAGAGATGTTATACAAATAAGCATATAAATACATATATAGTTACAATTTAACGTACGCTTATAAAAGAAAAACACCAGATTCAATGAGAAAGTCAAAGTGTAGAAACTTAATTTAGATGAGAGGGTGAGTCATGGAAGGCTCTCCAAGGAAATGCCATTTTGAATTACAACCAGAAGGTTGAATAGAAGTTACTAGAAGAAGAGTTGGGAGTCGGGGAGTTTTCTGGGCAGAGAGAATAGCATTTCCCAAGGCCCTAAAGGAAGAAGTGCTTAAGGAACTGAAGGAAGGCTGGTATGGCCAGAGCCTAGCAAATGTGAAGAACTGACTCCAGATGAGATAGAAAAGCCAGGATATGCAAAACTTAATAGTCAATGTTTAGGAAATGGTATTTTATCTCAGATGTAGTGGGAGTTATTCAGTGGTTACAATTGGGAAAGATATTACGGAATTTATATTTTTAAATGATCACTCCGGCTATTGGTTGGAAAATTAAGTGAAGGTTGGGGGGTACATCTGCAAAGATACATTTGATTCATCTTAATTAATTATGTCCTATAAGGGTTGCTTTTATTTTTGTTTTTAAAGATAGACATGTTCTGATTAACATAGCTCCCTACTAACTTAGAGTACACATATTTGAAACATCAAGATCCTCATTTAGAGAAGAGTAGGAGTAATTTTATTCAAAGGAATAATAATTCTCTTCATTTTTTTTACATGTATTGAATGGCATTGTCAAGTAGACTTCTCATTCTGGAATGCTTAAATTCTCTGTTTCTTTACCTTTATTTAGTTAAAAGTTTTGTCAACTTTTACTCCATGATGATTCCCAGATTTGCTCTTTATTTGTTTAAAAAAATTTTTTTCACAGCTGCTAAATTTGTCCAGGGTTTTATCACCTCACATATACACTTATTGTAATAACTTCTAGTTAATATCCTTTTTATTGTCTTCAAACATCCTGTATACAGGTTCCAGAATAAGTTTTTTCTTAAATTTCTTTCTTGTTTCAAAGTTTTTATTTTAAAAAGTTTTGTTTCCATAAGTTTGAAATTACTTATTGCTAATATTCCCCTTATGTTGGACAATAAAGATTTTTGTTAATTATTTCATTGCCCTACTTATTTAGTTCATGGTTTCTTTAGCTGGGATCCACAGATGCCTAGAGGATCCCTGGATAGAATTCAGAGAATTTGTGAATTTGTGTGGGGGCATCTTTATTTTCCCTAACCTCTAAATGAAAGATAGTATTTCCTTTAATTCTGAATGTAGTCCGTAAACCACAATATTAGCAATACTTGTAACTTTATCAACGAAAGAAAATTCAGATATTTTCATATCATATTATAGTTTTTACAGAGGAGAAACTCATGTTTTTGTTCCATTTACAGTGCTTGAAAAATTGTGGACAAAATAAAAACTAAAAAATAATCAACTAAATACTTTTTAACTATAATGTTTTTCTACATTTTTGATGATATATATTATGACCATGTATATATATATATATTTTTTTTTTAAGTTTATTGAGGTAACATTGGTTAATACAATTATATAATTTTCAGGTGTACATTATAATTTGACATCTGTATATTCTATTGTGTGTTTACCACCCAAAGTCCAGTTTCCTTCAGCTGCCATATATTTGATCCTTTTTACCCACTTCACCCTCCTCCTACCCCCTTATATTTGACTCCCTTTATGCCAAATTCTTTTTCTTTAAAATGTACTTTAAAAAGAGGGATACAGAGATAGTGAAATTAGTTTGAATTCAGTTAAAGGTATACTAATAACACCAACCCACACATTTTTTCCTGTGATAGACATGAACTTATGAAACCTAGAGTTCTTGTTGCCTTTTCCGAACCTGTCTACTAATCCAGAGCAGTGATGAGGAAGATCAATCTGAATTAGATGAAAATGAGTAAAGGAATATTAACTACTAAATATTAAAAGAAATTTAGTTTGGTTATTTTTTCAGGTTGACTTAATTATTTACCCCAAAAAAGTCCTGGCCAACTTGTTAAAGACTAGGTAAGATTAATCGAATTAGTTTATTAATTGTTGATCACTAAAACAATTCTTCCAAAGTGTTTGAAAATACAATGTCTTTTAAGCATTTGTCTACTTTAATATCATTCATTTAAAATATTTTATTGAATCCGTTTATGTGCTAAGATACACTGTGAGCCACATTAATAGCTTAGTTTCTTCCACTGAAGTTGCCATAGCTCATCGCCAGCATACCACAATTTACATTCTCATGATTATAACAATAACCTAAGAATAAGAAAAGAATGGTATGTAATAATGATACAAGGTTGAAAAGACAGGTATTTATTAAACATTTATATGCCGTCAAGTTACAAAAGGACATCAGGGGACTTAAAAAGACGTAGAGTGTAAAATAAGACAATGATAAACATAACAGATTGTCTTAGGTTGATCAACTCTCATACAGTTATATCTACAGTAAATTATTAATTTTTACTTAGTAAACTTTGTTCCAAGATCTGCAAAGTTAAAAGTAGAAGAGTCAAACTATATATTCTGTTAGTACAGTAAATATACATTGATCATGACACATTTATGTCTACTGGATACAGCAGGTAAAATTAAGTGAAGAGAAAGTGTCTCATCTTTCTTAACCTGTTATAAAATGAAGAGATCCTCTAGATTTCTGGGTAAGATGGGTAACTGGCAATCCCACAGTGATTTCCACTATTTCTTGCCATCCGAATATATCCTTTGTCACCAAAGTTCAGGCCCCAGCTTTAGAGAAACAAATAACACAAAATTACAAATGATTACAATCAAATCACATTATCAACTTTCTATCTCTTAGATTGTTTTTCTCCTAAAGTGACTCTATATGAAGAGCTGTAAAACAACATAATATAATAATTTCCCCAGAGCTTTTAGGCAATTTTCAAAGGATACTTTGGAAGGTTTTAGTGCTATTCTTGATGAATAGACTTAATACTTAAGGAAAACAATATAAAGTCCATCCCACATCTTTAATCCTCTTCGTAAATATGCCTAATGCAGAAAAAGAGTATTATTATTGTTCCAAGGCTCCATCTCTAAATAGGATCATAGGTGGTGATTTCCTATCAAACTTAAATTCCTCTAGAGAATGTCAATTAAGAAATATTTTTGAGCGACTACTATGGAAAAGGCATAGGACAAGGAATTCTAAAGTAAGCAACAAAAAGTGCAGCTCTCAAACAGCTTTTTGACCCGGCAGTGGAGCTGAGATGAGACTTTCTCATAGTTAAAGCTGTCAAATGGAATATGCTACCTGGGGGGAGGTGAGCTCCCTGGCACTGGAAGCATTCAATCAGACTTGTCATAACTTGTCAGAGATGTTGCAGAGAGAATTCATGGGTCAGATAAAGGTTAAGGGGATCAGTGGTTCTCTTACCTTTTTATTTCATGGACTTTGAGAATTTTTTTTAAATGTGCAGATTGACATAATTACCAATTTTTAAATTAGCAACAAAAAACGATGTACTCCTTAACATCACCATAATGTTGTAGAAGAAAGGACATTTCAAGAGCAAAAACAACACTTAAGAGGATATAATCTCTAATTTAAGGATATTCCTTCGAGTCAAATAAATTTAGATTTATGAAAGATTCGCCTAAATATTTTTTTCCCACTTTGCCACAGACTAGTGAAAAAAAAAAAACAGACAAAATTCTTGTGGGAGAAATGATTTCCAAAGTTCTTTATGATTCTGAGATTTTGTAATTATAGCAGGGACAGATATGAGGTAAAATTAGCTTGATTGGATCAGGAGGGGTCTAGGGCACATCCACAGTATCCACCTGGGTGACTTATTGTGTGATGTTGCCATTTAGTGAGATGGGAAATTCTGGGGGAGGACAATATGGTGGAGAGGGTGAATTCCTTGTACATGCTGAGTTTGAAGAAACTGAGATTCATGGCGGTAGACATGTCTAGATTAGTAAGTCTGAAATTCAGGGCAGAGGTCAGAGCTAGAGCTAGAGAACTGAAAGCCATTAGCAAGTAGGTTATAGCTAAAAATCACAATGGAAGGATGGATGTACCTCAGAGAAATGTAGAATAAGAACAGTAATAGGTAAAGGATGGAGCCCTGGAGAGAAGACCAGCATTTGGGGGGCTAAGCAGAGGAATAGGTATTCATAAAGGAGACCAAGAAGGAATGATCAGAGGATTGTAGAAGATAAGTCATGAAAACAAACGGCTGAAGGCAAAATAGGAAATGAAGAAATCGGAGTACCGAGTAATTTAAAATGTCACTGTATAAAAAGCTATAAATGTTATCACTGTGAATATCATGATTATCATCATCATAATCACAAGAAAGCATTTGTCGGGGTTCCCTCTGATTCCTGATTTTAACTAAATATCCATTACAGTACAAATATATCACCTGTTTTTCACAAGCCAGTAGTCTTTCCCATCAAGGTTACCATAGCCAACCACTAAGACACCATGATTCACTTTCAGAGTACAGGACTGGTCATAGTAGACACCTAAGAACACGATATGGGTGGAGAAAGAGTGAGTGGCACGTGACAACATTTGAAAACGCTGTTACTTTTATTAGACTGTTTTGCATATATGGCCAGATTAATTAAACTTTTAGGAACATATACTCCTATGTTTAAACTCAAGTTCATAATGCTTTGCCATCAGTACTGCATTTGTCAGTTTTCTTGCCAAGTCTGGCATCCATCCCAGTCATAGTTCCCTCAGAATCTTCTTTGACAAACTGCCACCTTTTCTTAATTATTTTTAACTTATATACAGTCAGTTTTGATATTTCTCTGTATATATTCCTAAATTGTTTGTTCCGTACATTTTTATCCTTTACTAGATTAAATGATCTTTAAGGTGAGGTTTCAAAAAAGATTATGGCCATCTACGTGGTCTTCTACGATGCGGCATCATTGGTGGGTGGCCTTGTTGTGCATGCCTGTGTGACACCTACAGTGCCCAGTGGCTGCAGAGGTTAGGGGCACGGGCTCTAGAATCAAGTGGCATGATTTCTCACCCCAGCTGACCACTTTCAGGTGGTGTGGCTTTGGGCAAGTTCACCTACCTAAGACTTAGTTTTTACATCTGTAAAATAGGGTTGTTATGAGGATTAAATGAGATAATGCATGGAAGAATTTATTATAGTACTTGGCGTGTAGTGTTAGTAAACTTTAGGAAGTATTACTTTACTAATTAGAACTGGCTATAAAATGGATATATGAAATGGAGGGTTCTGTTTAACCTAATCAAAACATTAGGGAAGGATAATATTCTTTCTTATAGTGCAAGGGCAGCATATAACGAGGATAATATATCTGAGTTTTTACCACTTCTGTAGAGGAAGAAAGAAGGATGGCTCGCATCTATAGCAACAGACACCGGTCCTTTATTGGCCACAGCTTCTTTCAAGGCCTCTTCACTGCCAAAAGGAAGTTCAGTGTACTTTGAACATGTGGCAGCTCGAAATTTTGAGTCATACTGGCACTTTCCATCCTGCAAAAAAAAAAGTGTATAAATGTATAAATCAGATAAAGAAGCATACTTCAATTTTCTTTATAAATCACCAATATCTTCATTCTGGATTTCAAATATGTATTTTTCCCTCATCTAGCTTTTTCAAGTGTCTAAGCTTCCTTCCTCTTTTTGAAAAAAAAATCACATCTTCCAAACCCTAACATTTCCATGTTTCATTAGTAATAGAGAAAATACAGAACTATTCTATTGTTTTAAATTGTAAGCATCTTCATACATGCAAAAGTTGTGGGATAATGTCCCTCAGACTCTGGGGTGGATCGTGGGGGTATACTACATAAAGATCATAAACTCTAGACTAGAGCTTTAATACCTTTTTGATGATCTAATGTCTACAAGATGATCTGCAGTTTAAATGATGGTTTATAAAGACCAGATAATATGGAAACATTTAGAATATATTTCAAGTGGGAAAGGAGACGTTACCAACTATGCTTTTAAACAACTATGCTTTTAAAATGCTTAGTGGGAAAAAGAATTTGAAAGAAATAAACCAAAATAAGAGTGGTAAGGTTAGGAGGGTTTCGAGTGATTTTTAAAAATCCTTTTCTAAATATTCTGTAATATAGATACTTTACTATCATTCAGTAAAATATATAATGAACTTGCAAGGAGAGGATAAGAGCATTATTTAGCTTTTCGGTAGATAGAAGAATGATGCGGTTGATGATCTGAGAATAAGGCTGAGCACGGGAGGCTGCAGGTCCACAACGTTTAAATACTGGGCGGATACAGAGAAAGAATTTTGTGGAAGGTTTGCTGAAAATCCATTTTTAAGCATGAATTCTACTTGCTTGTTTAAAACCAATATGCCACTGATAAATTAAGAAGGTTACTGCGTAAGAAAGCGAACTCCAGAGAATTTACGAGTTCTTCATTAGGATTCTCGCACACATGACACTGTTTCTCAAGCGATTGGCTTGGTGGTGAGTTTAGTACAGTCAGTCAAGGGTAGCATCAGTTCACGGAGTAGCACAAAACGTTTGCTTGTGACACACCTGGGCTTTGTAGGGATAGGAAGCTTCTGAATCGATGCCGTTGTTGTCAATGATATATTGGAAAGCACTTGTCATGAATCCACCATTGCAGCCTTTATTGCTGTATTTTTCAGTTGAGCAATCCACCAGATTCTGTGCACTCAGAGACACCAGCTTCCCTGTTTTCAGCTTCAGCTGTGCTTCCAGGGCCCCTACAGCACTGAAAGCCCAGCAAGAACCACAGGAACCCTAAAGCCGAGAAAGAGTCACAAAGGCGATCACAGAAACTCAGTAGGAACGACACAAACTAGGCAACACCCAACATGTCAGCCCTGCTAGTAGTTCTGGGAACAGCGCCCCCTACTACCATTTCCTCTTCTAGACAATGGAACTGAAGACTAAATACTTGATTGTTCTCTGTCCAGCCTCGATAAAGATTTGCAAGGGCTGAGCTCAGCATGATTTCCATATTCAAATATATTAAGAAACTTCTTACTAAGCATGTACGAAATCCCAGCTATCTTCACCCATAAGGAAGGGAGATAGATGCCTACAGTAAAATGATTGTGAGAGGAGCTGGGATGATTCACTTGACCTAAAATACTCTTCCTCCTGCCAAATGATGCCTGAAACATAAGGTTAAATTTGCTTTTAGCTTCAGAATTTTTTGACCAAAAGATATTTTACAAACAGAAAAACACAAAGCTGCTTTTAGCTAAAAAGGTGCAGAGGGCCCCGAGCCCTATCAGAACTGCTCTCTCTCCTCCTCTCATCCCACCTGGCTTTCTACCCAAAGGAAGCAAATTCAATTTGCTTTTGGTTAAAGCAAAATTACCCATCACCCATTAAAATGCAAGCATCCAGGGAAAGAAGTTTATTAAATTATTCATAGTCGGCACCTAGATATGTAGTTTATTGGGTCTTCCGAAACTTATATTTAAGAGAAGCTCCAGTAATAAGCCCAAAACTAGTTAAAAGAAAAGTATCTAGGTGGAAGGAGATTAGAAGTATCGTTCACTTCGTAATGTTTATGTTCTTCATCGGTCACAAGCTGGGGCAGCAGCTCGGCATATGCTGATTCTTCTCCCTCACCCTCCTGGCCTCTAAGGCGGTCCATGTGTGTTACCCTTAGTTACCCCTAACTAATTTAGGATTTTTGTAGTTGTTTTTTTCTTAATAGGCAATCTAAAGAAATACAAAAACATAGGAACAAATTTATAAAGCCCGTATTTCTTATTTTAATGCAAGCCTAGCCATGAATTAACTTGACTGGTACAATTTATAGGCCACTCTGAGTTCTAATTCCTTCCTTGCCTTCAAACCCGAATTTCATTAGTGAGATGGAGGGAGAAACTTCCTGATCAATATTCTCTCACATATAATAACTGTTTCTCAAGCAGTTGGCTTGGTGGAGGGTCCAGTGCAGTGGACGGATAGCAGGCACATGGAAAGTTTGCTCAGTTCACAGTTTTTGTCTAATGTGGTTCTAACCATTGGTTTCTAAGCATTGTGGGGAGTACAAATCAAGTGTGATGTGTGCTCCTTGCCCTCAGAGAGCTTACAATTCGGTTGGGAAGACAAAGATAACAAAAATAATTAGAAAGTAACATAAGGGAGATTCACTGCCAAATTAGGTAGCTAGACTAAGTAAGGAAGAGAGAGCTCTGCCTGGGGTGGAGGCTGGGATGATGACACTCACCTGGTATTTCACCTCAGTAACACACCCCTTGTCTCTCCAGTCCAGAGAATCAGGCAATTTCTGATTAGGGTTTGACTTGTAAGTGACATTTCTCTGCCATTGACTGGGAACTGTCAGGGAACCCATCAAAGAAATCACTTCTTCACTGGTCTACAAGGCATACAAGGCAAATACATATTTATGTACCTTCTTTCAGTTTTATCTTACTTTTCAATATCCTTATTGAATTAACAACAGTGAAAAACCAGTGGTAGTTATGACCAACATAGGTACTGCTAACTATCTGGTAGCTGAATTATCTTTGCATTAGCATCCCAATTAGGCATTGGGAAGGAGAAAAAGAAAATGGTAAAAACTAGAGGGTGTTGGTTCAAAGCAAGGCAGAATTTTATAAAAGGGCTTTATAAAAAGTGGACTGAACTGATTTTCCTTGTGAAAAAGAGTTAGAAAGGAGATGCCTGCATTTAATTAGGAATTTAATCTACCTACGATGTTCCCTTCTAAGGGGTACTGTGATTCTTAATTTTGGCCACAGTGGTAAAGGTTGGTAGGGTAGGATAGAATCTAAAAACTAATGGGAGATTATTTGTGATGTTAAATACCCACGCTCCCCCATTGCCAATTTAGACTTACATAAGTATGGTAGCTCTTAAAGATTGTGAGTAGTCTTTAGACAATGGTTTCTAGAATTAATAAATAAAAGCGATAGTAGTCTGTGAGTTTAAAATGTTCCTCTAAAGAAGGGATTTGTTAAGGAAAATAGTCACAGTAGGACTAAAGGAATCTACAAATTCTTGCTTTTAAATTCTACATTTTTCTAACTTTATACACATAGAGACAGTTCTCCTTTCTTGTTTACCTTCAAAAGGCCTTTGGAGAGAAAGAAGTCATGCTTTCCTACAGGCGAAAGCAGGGTTGTTTGTCATTTACCTACCATGTCTCCCAGGTGGTTCATGCCGAGGTCATATGAGTGCATTCCCATTGAATGCTCCAGGTTGTGAAGCATCACAAACTTTAGGTTTTTTTCCCAGATGAGACGCCGTGCCACTTCTTCAATCTAAAATATAAGGAAAAAGAACATAGTCATACTGAATCCTGCTTAATAAGAGTTCAATAATGAAAATAGACCAAATGTGGATCTCTCCGGTAGCATGCAAATAAATGAATATATTTTATATAACTGGTAAGATTTCATATTAATCTTAATTCTTGCTCTTAATTGCTTTGATGGTGATTAATATTATTTTATGATATACATAATGAACTTCCTTAGTGTGCTAAAAAGTGTTTTTTAAAAACTGCCATTTGCTGAAGTATACCATTTGTAGGTGATAAACTCACTTAATCTTTACAGGTCTTTTTAAAAGGTCCTCTTTTGCCATCAGTCTTGAAAAATTGTTTAGCTGATTGTAAATTTCTAGCTATTTCTCTTCAGTTATTTAAAGATATTTCTCCATCGTCTTCTGGTATCTATTATTGCAGATGTCAGTCTAATTGTACCTCTGTTTCTTTTTAAAGACATATATTCAACGTCATGATCAGACTATTACAATTAGCAATCAACGGCATGGGTGCAAAAAAATCAACATTAAAACCCTTTGTCAGAATGCTTTACACTTTGCACAGAATGAAAACTAAAATAACCTGTTATACAATTAGTCATAAGTACAGTCCTCGAGTCCTTTGCCCATGTACACACGAGTATTGTTTAAAACGTGTCTTCTTTGTAGCAGCCAGGCCCTGCCACCACTGTGCTTGGCTGAGTTCACGAATCTTTTGTAAACTGTAGCTTCCCTGTCACTTCTCTGGCTCTCCTCTCCTGCTAAGCTTTGTTTCCTGCCCTAGCTACTGCTGCCACCACAACCACCTTGGTTCCGAGGTTTGGCAAAACACTGGCCTCTACCACCATAGGAGCCAGAGCTTCTGCCTCCAAGGTTTCCTCCTTTCATGGGTCTAAAATTTGAAGATTGGTTGTAATCACCAAAATCACTGTAGCTTCTGCCACCTCCAAAATTACCTCCATCATTACTAACTCTATTATAGCCACCCCCGCTGCCACCATGTCCTCCACCACCATGGCTGCCACCAAAGCCACCTCGACCACTGAAGTTTCCTCCACAACCAAAGCTGTCACTCCCACCAAAACCACCTCCACGACCACCACCGAAGTTTCCAGAAC